AGAGATAAGGCAAAACATATATTAATAGAAACTGATTAAATTAAGTTATAAGAGCTAGTTGGGAACAGCCTAAGCTAAAGCCAAGCTTTCACAATTAATAATATGTCTCTGTGTCGTTATTTGGGGTCTGGTGGCCCCCAAAGTCTGACAAGAAAGACTGACAGCGGCCCTGGAACCTGCCCAGCTCACACAGGCGAGTGTTTTGCTGAGCTTTCTTGTAATTAAAACCCCAGAACCCTGAGCCCTGGCAGCACTGATGAAGGCTTAAAGGTAGGCGGGGTCTCAGCTTTTTGTCATTAAGGAAGTTGTCATGGAAATCCCCCTTTTCCCAACCACCTTCAGATTAATAATAATGAACAGTAGGGGTGGGAGAGAGGGCTCCTTTGTTGAGAACACATACTGCTCTTCCAGGGGCCTGAGTTCCATTCCCGGCACCCACACCTGGTGATTCACAACTGCCTGTAACTCCAGTCCAGGGGATCTGACGCCCTCTTCTGGCCTCAACGGGCATCTGCCATCATCACAGTACATCATCACCACCCCAACACATAATTAAAAATAAAATAATTTTTTTTAAAAGATAGGAAGTCAAGATAAATAGGAGTTTTTTGAGGTCAGGCAAAACGATATAGAGAGTACCATGCCAACCAGGGTTCAACAGTTAAACTTTGTCTCTAAAGAGGCAGACAAGCTGGTCAGTGGTTGCACACCTTTAATCTCAGCACTCGGGAGGCAGAGGCAGGCGGATCTCTGTGAGTTCGAGGTTAGCCTGGTCTACAGAGTGAGTTCCAGGACAGCTAGGGCCGTTGTGCGGAAAAACCCTGTCTCAAAAAACCAAAGGAAAAGAACAATGTAAACAAAGTAAGAAGTTGGTTAAGGTGTCGCATACCTGTCATCCCAGCACCTGGTATGCTGAGACAGTAAAACCTTGAGGTCAGGACAAAGGCAAAACAGCAACAGCATTGGTAGAGGAGGAAGAGGAAAACTCAAGAAGGGAGAAGATATTTGCTAAACATAAATCTGGAGACGCACTAATCACAAAAAGAACTCCTACAACTCGACATACAAGCAATCAGATTAAAAAATGGACAAAGGATTTGAGTATACTGTTCTTCAAATTAGAAAACACATGAAAATATGTTCCTCATTCAGCATCACTGGGCAGAGCTGGAAGTCAAAACACAGTGAGATACCGCTGCAAACCCAGTAGGATGGTTATCGTCTGTTTCATTAAAAAAACAAACACAGGGTGATGGTGGCACACACCTTTAATCCCAGCACGCTAGAGACAGAGGCAGCCTGGTCTACAGAGGAAGTTCCAGGACAGGCTCCATAGCTACTGAGAAACCCTGTCTTGAACAACCAAAACCAAAAACAAGGAAAATGAGATCTTAGGATTTAACTTAGTGAGAGAACACAGCCACACATGGAAAAGGGAAATAGTGATAGGGGGATGTGTAGAAACTGGGGGGACACACACTCCCAGAGAAGGAGTGGCTGCAGTGGGAAGCAGTCTTGCAGTTCCTCAGAAAGTTAAGCCTAGGGCTGTGGAAGTGGCTCAGTCCATAGAGCACATACCTAGTATGCTTGGGGCCCTAAGTTCAAACCCCAGCACCTGTGAGCCAAGCACTGGGGAGGTGCAGGCAAGAGGAGCAGAAGTTCAGGGTCATTCTTGACCACAAAATGAGTTCAAGGTCAGTCTAAGCTACATTTGAGCCCCTGTCTCGGATGGATAGATGGATGGATGGATGGATGGATGGATGGATGGATGGATGGATGGATGGATAAATGAGTAAAGTTAAACTTATAGTTACCATAAAAACTCACAATTTTATTTCTGGGCATACACCCAAGAGAATGAAAACACACAATCACACACAGACTTGTGCCCAAATGTTCACAACAGTATTGTTGTGATAGCCACAAGTCCTCAACTAATGAATGGACAAATAATAAAATGTAGTGAATTCATATAATGGAATATCATTCAGCAATAAAAAGAGATAAAATAGGGCCTTTGAGATGACTTAGCCGGGAAAGGTACTTGCCCCCAAGCCTAATGACCTGAGTTCAGGCCCTGGGGACCCACATCATAGGAGAGAGCTAACTCCTACAAGTTGTTCTTTGACCTCCACATGTGGCTGTGGAATGTACACACACACACACACAAATGCAATTTAAAGAACGTAGATGAAGTACGTACTTTGTGGATGGACCTTGAACATATTACAAAGACAACAGGTCACGTATGTATGATTTCACATATATGGAATGTCTAGGATAGGCACATTCACAGAGACAGATTAGTGGTTTGGGGAGAGTAGGTTGGAAGAAGGCTAGGGAATGACTAATGGGTATAAGGCTTCCTTTGGAGGTGATGGGGATGCTCTAGAACTGGATCGTAGTGACAGTCATCAACCTCGTGAATGAACTAAAAAAAATACTGGACTATACTCTTTAAATGGTCAATATAAAATGTTTGTAAATTATCTAATTGTTTTTTAAAAAAGGAATCAGTGCACATCAAGTGCTATGAGACCGTTGAGTCCATGGTAACCCTAGGGGAAATGTCAGCCATCAGGGTAAACTCTAGATCCATGGTAGCCCTAGGAAATGTCAGCCATTTAGGGTAAACTCCTCTAAATTCATGGGCTAGTCCAGAGAGGGACAAAGAAACATCATCAAAATAGGGTGTGGCCTTTAGAGACTATTTTGCTACTATTTTAAAATTTTTATTTACATGTTTTATGTGTATGGGTGCTTTGCCTGCATATGTCTATGTGCCATGTGTGCCTAGGTTAGGAGGCCAGAAGAGGGTGTCAGATTCCCTGAAATTGGAGTTAAAGATATTTGTGAGCTACCATATGGGTGCTGGGAATTGAATGTTGGGTCCTCTGGAAGAGCAGCCAGTGTTCTCAACTGCTGAGCCATCTCGCTAGGCCTAAGATTATTATTTATTTGTTTGTTTGCTTTGTTTTTGTTGCTTTTTGTTTTGTTTTGTTTTATTTTGAGACAGAGTTCTCTGTGTAACAGTCCTAACTGTCCTGGAACTAACTCTTGTAGACCAGGCTGGCCTTGAACTCACAGAGATCCACCTGCCTCTGCCTCCTGAGTGCTGGAATTAAAGGTGTGCACCACTACTGCCTGGCTAGATTATTGTTGTTGTTTTTTAAAATTATTTATTATGTATACAGCATTCTGTCTGCATGGATGTCTGCACACCAGAAGAGGGCACCAGCTCTCATTGCAGATGGTTGTGAGCCACCATGTGGTTGCTGGGAATTGAACTCAGGACCTTTGGAAGATCAGCCAGTGCTCTTAACCTTTGAACCATCTCTCCAGCTCCTAGATTATTATTTCTTAAAGATTTGTTATTTCTTAAAGATTTGCTTTTATTTTGTGTACATGTGTGGGCCTGCTCCTGCATGAGTTATGTACCACATGTGTGCAGAAACCAGGGGAGGCCAGAGCCAGGAATGAGAGCCCCTGGAAATGAAGTTGCAGACTGTTGTGAGCCGCCCAGAGGATGCTGGGAACCAGCTCCTCTTTAACAGCAGTAAGTGCTCTTAACTCATGAGCCATCTCTCCAGGCCTAAGATTATTTTGTCTTATTGATTTTGAGACAAGGGTTCATGTGATCCAAGTCGGCCTCAAACTGGTTATATAGTTGAGAATGACTTTGAAACCCTGATCCTCCTGCGGCTGCCACCAAGAGCTAGGATTACAGGCCGGCAGCACTTTGCCTGGTGTCTTAAGGTAGTTCTTACTGCTGCCATAACAAATGCCCATGAACTATGGCTTAAGACAACACAATGCCTTATCTAGCAACCAGAGGTCAAAGGTCTGCAGTGGTTAGCTCAAGTTGTCAACAGAGCTGTGCTCCTCCTGGGGCTCTAGGAAGAATTTGTTCTGGCCTACTTCAACTTCAGTCTGTGGCTTTTCCTGGCCCTGGGCGACCACAGCATGCTGGCACCACCGCCCCACCCTCTCCGGCCCTGACTCTTCTCCCTCCTTCTCTAATGAGTTTGTGATTAAAAGGGTCAGTGGGTAATCTGGGATAATCTCCAGATCTCAGGATCCTTAATCACAGCCGACAAGTCCCTTCTGCTATACAATGGAACACCTTCACAGTTTCCTGCAGTTAAGACAGGCGCTTCTCTGGGAAGTCCACAGGCTGCTTAAGAGAGCAGTGTTCTAGTGGGGCTGAGTGTGCTGGGCCTTAGCTGTAATCCTTCTCATCTGTACGGGGTTTAGAGAACTTCTGTGTGACCCTTTTTTCCTCTCCTTGAACTGATCCTGGGGACTCAATGAAATAAGTACTGAGCCTACACTGTAAGGCAGGGAGTAGCACTCAGGGGACACACTGGGCCAGGTCACACAGACACAGAGAGGCTCAGGTTCAGAGCTTTTATTATTTCATTTTCTCTAAATATTTACTTATTTATTTTGAAGCAGGGTCTCACTGTGTAGGTCAGGCTAGCCTGGAACTCACAGAAATTCTCCTGTCTCTACCTCCCAAGTGCGGGGTTTAAAGGTGTATGGCACCATGCCCAGTTCATTTTTTTTTAATTTCATCGATTCATTGTGTGTGTTGCTTACACCCCAGGAGAGCCGAGGGCAATGGGCAGTGGCCGGTTCTCTCCTTTCACCGTGTGTAGTCCAGGGAGTGGACCAGGCCCTCAGCTGCGGCAGCACCTGCCTTTACCCACTGCCATCTCCCTGACTCCAAGACTTTTTTATGTATTCAATTCTGAGACAGGGTCTCGTGTAGCCCAGGCTAGTCTCGAACTCACTATGTAGCCGAGAACAACAGCGCTGAGACCACAGCCAGCTTTGTGCAGCTCAGGAATGACAGCCAAGGCTTCTTGCGTGCCAAATAAGCGATCCACCAACAAAGTCTTACCCATCAGCCCCCAAATTAATGATGCTTCTTTTTTTTTTTTTCCCAGTACTGGAGATAGAACTTAGAGCCTAGTGTGTGCTGGGCAAACACTATCACTATGCGACATCCTATAAGGATTTTAGAAGTTTTGATTCGGTTTCCCCACTCACAGTTCCCAGACCTTCTCTTCCAGAGCAATGTGCTCTTGGTGCCTGCATCAGGGGGGACCCCTCAGGCACCTGACAACCTGGAGGACAAAACTTCCCAAAGTGAGCCTGTTCCTACGGCCTAGATGTGTCCTTAGCAGGCAGTCCTGAAACTAGGAGGGTGGAGGGTGGGATGTGGGCAGAGATGATTTTTTTTGTGTGGATATCCTTGGCATAGAGCCCCAGAACTTAGTGTCCATCCGTCTGGGGCATGTCCTCCACAGCAGCTGAGGCTGGAACCCTGTTTGCCAGGAGCACACTTCTTCTTAGAAAAGGCTTAGTGAGAATCTCATAATCATTCCAGTGTGGTTTATGGTTTTGCCTTGGGTGCTACTACTGCGTGGGAGAAGAGCTCTCCCGGCCCCACAGATCCCACAGATGCCAGGGGAAGCTGCCATGGAACCTCCCGATGCCTCTCTGAGCACCTCTCCCCCACCCCACCTACCACGATGGTCTTCGTGTGCTATCCTATTCCAGGAACTGGGTTACGCTGCATCTGAAAGCAGGGCCCCGTTCCCTGGCACATCTGCCGCCGTGGAAGGAGATGGGACCCGTGGAAGGGCATGTGATAAGTGAACAGAACTGGCCCGTGGAATGGGAGGGGAGGGGACAGCAATCTTGGGGTGCACAGTGCCCCCAGCTCTAAAGCTCAGGTAGGGACAGGCGGTCCATGAGCCTCACGCTCACTCTAGGTGGTCCCCCAAAAGGATTCTGGCATGGTGGCCCTTATCTGTAATCCCAGTTCTGAGGAAGCTAAGCCAGAGTCACCTGGGGTTTGAGGCCAGCCTGGACTACAAGGCTAGTTCAGAATCAGCCTGGAGCTACATAGCAAAACCTTGTTTAAAGGAGAGAGAGAGAGGAAGGGAGAAAAGGAATTTGAGCCCGGGAGTAGTGGCCAGTGTGTCATCTCTGAGGCCAGAGTAAGTCCACCCTGGAAACGGTGTCCAGCTGTCTTCAGGGCTGAGACTGGTGTAAGGTTCCTACTGAGTAGCAGCCAAGCACGGGTACAGTAAGGAGGTAATGGCCTGATGTCAACTTCCACGAGGGTGGCAGCCAGATGTGAGGCCAGCTGTAGAGAACAAGTAAGCTCTGTGTGTGGGTGGCCAGCTGTAGGGAGGCTTGGGGATAACCAGGGGGTGACAGAAGTGGGGAGCCAGAGGGCAAGCCATCTGTGAAAGGCTTGAGGTCAGCCTACCCCGGCTCAGGCTTTGGGAGGTGACTGTCCCCGGGAAATTAATGATGCTCTTGGGTGGATCTCTATCCAGGGAGGCTGTTTAACCTCTGGAAAGAGTAGCTGACAAAAATATTTTGCACTTGGCTGGGTGGAAATAAACAGGGACATGAAGCAAGTCTGTACATCATCTGGAAACCCAGTCACCAGCTCCCCCTCCCTGGGCTGGAGGAAACCGCTCAGGGTTGCTGCCTGCTGAAGGAGCCTCCCTGGCTAAATAATGCTGCTGTGTCTTTAACTGGCGTGTCCTCACTTCCTCCTTCTGGGCTTTGGTACCTGTTGTGTACCAGAGTGCGGCCACCACTCCTGTCTTCTGCACTCTTCCCGGTTAGCCCACCTCCAGCTGTGTCCTCTAAAGCCCCTCCTTCTGCAGCTCTCCTGACACACTCATGACACACTCAATCACGTCCGCCCCTCTTCCCAGCACGCGTAATCTGCTTTTCTGTTTGTTTGTTTGTTTGTTTGTTTGTTTGTTTGGTTGGTTGGTTGGTTTTGTTTTGTTTTGTTTTGTTTTGAGACAGGGTTTCTCTGTGTAGCCCTGGCTGTCCTGGAACTCACTCTATAGACCAGGCTGATCTCAGACTCACAGAGATCCGCCTGCCTCTGCCTCCCGAATACTGGGATCAAAGGTGTGCGCCACCATAGCCTGGTTACGATCTGTTTTTAGGACACTCAGATCTAGCTCCAAGGGACACTGACCTTATCCTACCCCCACCCAGAAGTACAGGGATGAGCTTCAGGGAATCCCTATGGTTGGGAGATCACGTGCAAAATTAAACATGGGGCCTGTTCAGAGGGATAAAGGCAGTGGCCATAAAGCCTGATGACCTGAGTTTGATCCCTGGGTCCCACCTAGTGGAGGGAGAAAAGTGATTCCTGCAGGTAGTCCTCTGGCCTCCACACGTGAGCAGCGTCACGTGTGCCCACACACATACATACACACAAGAAATAAATGAACTGGGCGGTGGTGACACACGGCTTTAATACCAGCACTCGGGAGGCAGAGGTAGGCAGAACTCTGTGAGTTTGAGGCCAGCCTGGTCTACAGAGTGAGTTCCAAAACAGCTAGGACTTTACAGAGAAACCCTGTCATGAAAAGCCAAAGAAGAAGAAAGAAGAGAAGGGGAAGGAGGAGAAGAAGAAAAGAAAGAAACGTAATTGAAAAATAATAAAAAATAAATGTGCAGATAAACAGATAATCAAAAAAAATCAATGAAATGATTCTTAATGATGTTCTCCTATACTCTCAGATCAGTGTCTAGCCCAGCCATCATCAGAGAGGCATCCTCAGGCAGCTGATAGGGATAGCTGCAGAGACCAGAGCCAAACATTAGGAAGAGAGAGCCCAGGTGGAGGTCTCTGACACACAGTGGGAGCTCAGGGAATCCCGAGAAATTGGGGAGGAGGAATTGTGGGAGCCAGAGGTGTCAAGTACATCAGAGAGTACATCCACAGAATTAACAAAACAGAACTCATGGCTCACAGAGACCGAAGTGACCATCTCAGAACCTAAATGGGTCTGCGCTAGGTCCTCGGCATTTATGTTGTGGTTGTTGGCTTGGTGTTTTTGTGGGGCTCCTGAGAGTGGCAGTGGGGGTATCTGACTCTTTTTTGCCTGTTCTTGGGACTCTTTTCCTCCTTCTGAGTTGCTTCGCCCAGCCTTGATGTGAAAGTTTGTGCCTGGTATTGTTGTATCTTGTTATGCCATGTTCAGTTGATGTCCCTGGGAAGCCTGCTTTTTTCTGGGGAAGACAGGGTGAGGAGTGCATCTGGGGAGAGGACAAGTGGCAGGGGACCTGGGAGGAGCAGAGGGAGCAGAAGCTGTAGTCAGGAGGTACTGTATGACAGAATAATCATAAAAAAGGAATAAGAAAAGGTAACTCACAAAGTAAGTTCAAAGTACACCTAACAAACTTAATAACTGTTTAATCTCAATAAAAATAAAAGTAAGTGTGCAGATGAATGGATGATCAAAATGTTGTATCCAATGGAGCACTGTTCAGCCATGGCACAGAAGGAACTACCTGCTAAACAAAACAGCGAGAGCGTGTGATTCCGTTTACACGCAACCTCCAGAACAGGCAAAGCATTTAGGCAGAAAATAGTCTGTGGCCGCTAGGGTCTGGAAGAGAAGAAAAGGTGAGGTAGGTGCATGGTGAATTAATTCAGGGTTTCCATCTGGAGAATGGACGTATTTTAGATTTACCCCGTGTAGTGACTGTACTAAACGCCACCAAACTGTGCAGGTTACAATGGCAAATTTTATGTCAGCCCTGTTTAGTCACATTGAAGAAAATCAAATGCACATTTCCGAGGAGAAGGCTTTTGACTTTGATCAGATTCTCAAAAGGTTAAGGAGCCCTGGTCTAGTCCAACACTTTCATGGGGTGCAAAGGGAGGGAGGACCATGGAAGGTTACTTGGGCGGAGCCCAGGCACCTGCCCACTGGCCTGACTGAGCACCCTGCCTTCCTCTGTCCTTTGATCCCACTGAAACCTCCCAGCCAGGCTACCCACAAGCCCTGTGGCTCCACAAACAGAAAAGGCCTTCCAGCAGGACTGGGACTACAAGAATGTTTGTCTTTCTCTCCGTGAACTCCCAAGCATCTAGAGTGCATTTTGTACTCCACCCCCACCCCACACCCACAGCCCCACACCCCCACACCCCCACACTCCCACACCCCCATGCTGTGTAGAGCTTCAAAAGTAACCTTGGGAGGAAATGGTCTTGTCTCCATTTAAGAAAAAGCTTGTGCTAGTTCCAGGACAGCCAAGGCTGTCTGGAACCCACCCACCCTGCTAAAAAAACAGCTTGCTGTTTGCTAGGAAGGAGGGTTCTTAGCTGACTGCCTCAGAGGGACATTCTTTCTCCAGGTGATACCCTGCATTGACCTTGACCTGAACTTCATTAGATCTGCATACTCAAATTTTTTAAGTTGTATTTTATTCTTTTGAGATAGGGCCAAACTACATCGCCTAGGCTGCCCTGAAACTCACTTACATAGCTTAGGATGGCCTCGAACTCAATATTCTTTTGCCTTCTTCTCACCAGTGTTATTCTACATGCACCATCAGTCCTTGTGAGTTTTATTTTTGATCGACAAGTAGTAGTTGCACATGTCTGTAGGGTACATGTGGCATTTTGATACCCTCCCCTCCCGCTGTCATTAGCTTGACTGAAAACACACAGGAGTCCCCCAACACGGAGACCCTTCTCAGAAGTTTCTGTTGGTTCCTCTTTGCTCTGTTTCTTGCTGGTTAACTACACCAATAAAGATAGTTAGGAATGCACACACCCTCCCTTCCGGAGCACTCCCTAGTCCCGAGTTTAGGGGAAAAAGACACACCTGGAAAACTGCTTGCCAGAAATGCTGACCACGACAAAATCGATGCACCAGTTGCTTTAACCAACCCAGATGGGTTTTTTTGTCTCCTTTCTTTCTCAGCCATCTCTCCAGCCCCCTCTTTCTCTCCATTCTTTTGATTTTTTTTTCTTAACAGGATTTTAGCCCATGCAGATCTAATATTTTCTATGTAGTTGAGGATGACCTTGAACTTTTGATTCACTTGCTTTAACCTCCTAAGTAGGGAGTTGTGTCTTCTTTAGATCCCCTGTTCTACAGCTCTCACCACCATGAGCAGAAGATGGAGAGCCCACCACGTTCCAAAAGGGCTGTTTTCTTAAACATTACGTAATTGAAATGACTACCTGTCTGGTACCTACATGCCTTCCCTTGGCTGCGTTATAGGTCAGTGGCAGAACCCTTGCCTAGGGTGCAGCAAGGCCCTGGGTTCAATCTCCAGTGTTGGAACACAAAACCACCTTTACCCAC